GTAGTTATGTATTGAGTGCTTTTTGGTAGGAGTTCTGCTAGCTTAAAAAAAAAAAACGTAAAATTTTCACATATTTGCTCATTGTATTATTATCATCATTATTACTATGAAAAGTTGCTAATGATTTCCATATAGCACTGAATTGTCACGTAAAAATCTTTCTGAAAATAATTCTATTTGACTTTTTATAAAAATCTTAAACATTAAGTTAATATGGGAGCTAAAAAGAAGCCTACAATTGACCATTCAAAAAACAATGTGATTTTAAATTTATTCCAGTGATTGTGGGACTTTGTTCTTTTTGCCTTACCTTAATTTCTGAAATTGGAATCAGTTTTTCCATTCCCATCTACTGTACATTTTTTTTTATGTAACTTGCTATAAGCTGTATTTATTAGATTCATGGTTCTTGCATGTTAAACAGAAGATTTGAGAAAAGTCAAAAGGTAATATAAAATTTCAAAGGAAATAATTAAATTGCAAGTTGTCACTAGCCATCAACTTTGTGTAAGAGAAATAGGAGTGGGTAGTATAAAGTTCTTAACCCGACCAAGAAGATTCAAATTAAAAATAAATTAAATCTGATGTTTGTTCAGATTTGCGGGAGTGAGTTGAATTGAGAACTTTTCAGCAATGCCCCTGCTATAAATATGGGGACATGTGCATAGTTGTATCTGCCACTTTTTATTTAATGTTGTATATGAAACTTGAATCCTTAAAATGAAATTTGTCTTCTTACACCAAAAAACCAAACATGTAAAATATGAACATTGGCTTGTTAGTGTAGATTTTATGTTGGTGGCATATCTTTATCAGTTCCTACCAGATGCACACTCAGTATGTATGGTTCTGTGCATGTATTTCTCTTATAAAGAGTTGATCTCTAGTGACAGAATCTCTTATAATTCACCATAGTTTTTTTTCTCTTTCAACCATTGCATGCTTCAGTGATTTTTCTCAATTCTCTATGCAACTTGATGATCTCATTTTTTTTCCCACCCTGGAACTGTGCCTACATTCCCATCCAACTGAAATATTCTTGGTACACTTTGGTAATGCTTCTTTAATCCCATGAGAGTAGCAAAGTTGATAGAGTACATTTACTTTAAAAGAGAAAAATCACATGAAGCACAAATCTAAAGAAAGCTGCTCTTCTTACACATTTCACTCATTCTTAGACAGGTGAATTAAAACAACATTTATATGTAGATATAGGTTTCTGGAGACATTTTATTTGAAATGACAGTTTTCTTTAGGGCATTTTCAAGAATTGAAAAAATGTTCTTGGTTGTTCTAGTCATATGTGATTATAGATTTGCAATTGCTTTTCTATTACAGCTCTTGAAAAATGCTCAGTGGCAAAATTTTGGTTATACCTGTTATAATTTTGGTTTACTTCTCGGACAGTCTTTGTATAATCTCACCATACTGATTCTCTCAATTCTTCTAAATGCAAATGTGTGTGTGTTTCATACAGAGCCCATGGCTCAGATTTGTGATTCATAAATATTGAGGAGATGACAAACAACTGAACTTTGGATTGATTGGAGAAAATGTTCAGTTTCTAGATTCATCAAACTGTTTTTGCACCAATCATTGTTAAGATTAAATGTTAGAATTGAGCAGGTACATAAATATTGCTATCTAGGAAGTTTTATAACTGATGACAAAAAATGTGTGACAGAAATCCAAGGGTGCATTGTAAAAGCCAAAGTTGCCTTCCAAAGGCTAAACAAAGTGTTAAGAAATAGGAACATTTTGTTAGAAACAAAGAGTACTGAACTGTCTAATATCAATCCTTCTATATGACAATGAATGCTGGACAATTTCTTGACAAATGAAGAGAAGACTTAAGACGGCAAAAGGAGTGGTTCTATTGAAGGATGCTGACAATACCATGGACGGAACATGTACACAGCACACAAGATGACGTACAAGATTTCATTTGTCTTTTTTTTAAAAATTAAAATTAAAAATTGTCTTGAATAGCTATCGATTGACATAAGATTTTGCATTGCCTTTACTATAGTCACTTTTAAATAACTACTTTGTATGTGTTTTTAAAATATTGGTTTTTCATGATAATGTTTTTCATGTGTACATCTATTGAAATGTTATTGACCAAGAGTATGGAAAAAGAAAATGGATATTCAATTGTAGACAAGGAAATATTTACAATTTGTTTACCTATTTTTTTTTTTTTGTTTATGCTGCTTTTTCCTTTTGTGTGTTTATAAAAGATTTCACTTTTTGTGAACTCTATCAAAATCTTTGGTTAGATGAATGGAAATTTTATTTTCTATAATTTAATCTTCATCAAACTGCAGATTTAAATGGATATTAAGGTTTCCTCCCTTTTTTGTCAAAAAGTTAAAATTTCAAACTTAAATTCACTTTGAATAATAGTAAGAATTATAAAGTACATGTCTTTTAATAATTTACATTGGCAAATGTTTTCACAAAAAAATGTTTTTGTCTCTCTCATTAATAATGGAAACATATTTTTACTTTATATTATTTTGTCTTGTCTTTGGGTGCGATGACATAAAACTACCTGATCCCAGAAGAGCCCCTTCCAAGCAGAAAATCCCCACTTTAATAATGGTGGAGGATGGGATCAGAGGAAACTGCTAATTGAATAGCGCAATTTTTACTATTACTCCATGATTTACTTTGAGTTGAAAAGCATAAAGAATTTTCTTAAGTGTGTATTTAAACTCCTTTATTTTTATTTATTTTTTCTTACAAACAATGCAAGAAAACTTTTGAATTAAAAGTATCTCTTTGTTTTTCTTTATCTCTGTATTTCAGTGATATGCATATCATTTGAAACCTCTTTATTTAGGTACCTCCACGAAATCGCTAAAAAAAAGAGCATAGCTTGATGAAAAAGACGCCAACCTTGCCGAAAACTAAATTTTATTGTCTAAATGCTTATGTTATTATTAAGAGGAAAGACCAAAGTTTTTTTTTAATTATTTTTAAAAAATTTTCCTTCTCTTTAGAACATTCTAAATTTTGATTTTAAAAAAAAAAAAACCTTTTTTCTATTTGTATCAGCGGAACTAGTAAATAACATAGACAATTTTTAGCACGTTTTTTTGGTATGACACACATTAATTTGAAAAATCGTGCAAAAATAGAAATAATTATCGGATGTTAATGAAACTTTCAGGAACTATTCACAGATGATCGAAATTATTATAAATATGTTTTTTTATGAAAGTCATGGTAGAAATATTTTTTTTAAATATTTATTCCCCCCCAATACTAATTTTATGAAAACGCTAGAAATTCGATCGCATCGGTTTTAGTGATTACAATAATTAAAAGCACAGGGCTTTGAGGAATGCAAATCATGTTTTTTTTTTTTTTATTGGATACGCAGTACCTGAAAATCAGCTCTGAATTGTAACATACAAAACTCAATAAAACAAAGATATTATTTAATTTCAAATGCTTTTATTTGCTTTTAGTTGTTTTTATGAATATGGACAATATTTTCTGAAAGCAAAAAAATTTTTTTCGATGAAAATGAATTTTTAATACAATTATTTGTTATTTCATTAATTATAATAGATTTTACATTTAAGTTGTTAAAATATTATAAAATTAGTTAAAAGTCATATCGGCTTTCATAAGTGTCCTTATGAGATAGATCTTTTTTAGCGCGTTGTAAATTGTATCATTTTGACGGATCAGAAGATCCCCAGTAATTAAGAAATGTAATTTTGTGCTTATAATCGAGCTGTAATTATAAAATACGGAAGACCAACCAGAATATAATTAAGTTGCGTTATTTGAGTTAAGCATTGTTCTCCGCTGTTAAGGCCTTTACTTTTTTACAACACGTGTGGAGAAGTTAATTTGATTTTTCAATTTCAACTGAGAAGGGTACCTACAAGTATCGGTATCATCTTATGAAATTTATATGATCTTATTTTTATATTAATCTCAGTTACAACATTTTTCCATAAATGAAATATCAAAATTAATAATAAAATGAATACAAATAACAGTAGAATGTAATAAATGTACATAAAATTATAGTATTTTATGTACAATTCTGATAAAATTTCATAAGAAAGGTACCTATAAATTAATTAGATACCTTTCTTAAGAAATATGAAATTTAATGTCACTCTTAATAGTTTTATTTTAATTTCTTTACAATATATTTCCCATAAAGCATCATAAACGTAAAGGTGAAAGCTAAAAAAAAAAAAAAAAAAAAAATTAGACCGCTGAAAGTGTTCGTTAAAAAAAACGGGTAAATAATTTGTTCACGCAAAATGTAAATTATTTCACTTTTCTCCTTCCGTAGAACAAATTAGCCTCATGGAATTCGTAAATATATCATTCATCACATGTCAAGAGACGCAAAAAAGTTTATGACCTGCTTTGTTTTATTTTCAAATTACATCTTTTTGGCACAAAAGCTAAGTTAAGTTTGGTTCAAAAATATTTTAAATAAACATTATAATTTCTGATTTTCTTAAAATAAGTTTTGAGAAAATGATAATTGATATTTAAAAAATTTCAAAGTCAGATTTCCAGTTTTTTTTTTAAATGGAAAAAATGGTCAATTTTGCTGACTCAAAAAAAACTAGATTTTTAAAAAAATTTCGGACGTGCTAGGAACGATTAAAAATGGAAAAAAATACCCCAAAAATACTTTGACCTTTCCTCTTAATAATAACAAACATTTAGACGATAAAATTTTGTTTGCGTCAAGTTTGGCGTCTTTTTCATCATGCTATACTCTTTTTTTAGCAATCTCGTGGAGGTACCTATCTTTATTGAATATCTGATCATCTACACACATTTAACTTGCAAATCTGGTTTGTATTAAAAAGAAAACAAATGCAATATGGAGTTGACATTGCCAGTTTTGGCATGTGTAGATTTTTATAGAACCTTGCCTAGGATATTCCCAGTCTATAAACTATGATTCTCTGTAAATTCACTTAATTTACTTTCTTTTCCTTTTTCTTTTCTAGGCATTATTGGCTGCACAGAAACGTTTACAAAGCCAGATAAAAGGTTTCCGTTTTAATTTAGGATTTTCTGGGAAATATTACCAAAAAGGAACTCCAGAGGAGAACCTTGGTGATCAGCTGCTGATAGGTAAGCACTTTTGTTGCATTTGATAACTGCAATGTAATCAGCTGTGTGGTAGGGAGGATTTTTCTAAGTAAATGTTCTTTGCAATGTTTCTTGATCCCCCCCCCCATTCAATTCCAATAGCAAAATTCTCTGCAGTATTACAGCATTACTGAGCTCAATTTATATCACATTGAACTTGTAGGGAGGAAGTAGACACCAGCCATTCTATAGAACCCACTCTGATGAAAACCTGATAATCTTCTTTTACCTTTCTTGTTCTTAGACAAGTAAATGTTTACTGAGCCTCATATTCTAATTGCACATTTTTAAAGTTTAACATGTTTTATGCATCCACAAATCAAATTTTTTTTTTTCATAAGTGAAAATAAAAGAAAATATAATTCAAGATTTACTGTTCAAATGATTTTCCCTCACATTTCTACTTGCCTGTCTTTTTTGGTTTCTACACAATTGCAATAGGAATTAAAACTAAAGTATTTTCAAACACACATTTACTAAATAATGAGGATAAGTTGGAGAAAAAAATCAATACATTTTTAAAATATTAGAACTACTACAATTATTGGGTAACCCACAGCAAAATATTTTCTATACTAAGTTATTTGTTTTTTGGTGATCAAAATAAAGTACATATTTTTGAGATGAGGAATTATATTCTTCTTTATGTGCCATTTCCCCTCAGGATGTAGGCAATTATGGCTCTCCACAATTTCCTGTCATTTGTAGTTCTTACTTTCTATTCAGACTAATGTGTTAACCTTGGTGGTTATAGTCACAATGATTTGGTTGTTCTACCTTGCACCCTTCTATTATACTTGGTAGCCTTGTCAAAAAAAAACATTTGGTTCAAAATTTCTGAGATTTGTGTCCAAGTTGAAGAAAGCTGGAGGGTATAATAACCAAAACATTATGACAATAACAAACTAAGATGAGCACATTTTTAATTACATAAAATAGAAATAAGTGACAATGGCATGATCCAGGTATAGAAAACCTGAGAAGATTCACTTAATAGCAGGCTTTGTAGCATTATTGTGGCTTTTACATGTTTCAATAGATGATATGGTTTAAGTGTTGTTTTTAAGTTTCTCAATAGTTGAATTACAATATCTCATTTTGATGTATTTTGGGCTGAGGTTTGATGTTAGCATAAAGAATAAAATCATTTCAAACTTGTTTCAACATTTTGAAGTTCATTTATGATGAAATGTTTTCTGTGTGTGATAGCTGCTGCTTTTCATTTTTTCTATCTCAGATATAAAACTTGTCAAAAGTTGTTTGAGTTTCAGTGCAATTTCTTTTCTCTTTTTCTCTTTTTTTTATTTTTTATTTATGTAAAGTGGAAAACCAGAGTGAGAAGTGGAACTCATTAGGAAAAATAGTTAACCACCAATTTCATTAAAATCTCTTCATAATGATAGATTGATTTCCAACTATTCACAAGCAGAGAAAATGAAAGTTTTATCATTTTGGTGTTTCCAAAATAAGAAATTTTTCTTATATCTCAGCCCCTATCAAAAGACATTGCATCCTGAATTGCTAGATGTCGTTCATTCAAAGAGTTGAATATGTCTGACAAATAGGCAATATACAAAATGAATTCATGCTCTTCAAACTTTTTACAAAATTATTTCTATGTTCTTGAAGGAAAATAGCAACTTCCTTAGCCATAATTACAACTTTGTGCAAACTGGCACACAATAATATAAAGAGTATAGCTTGATATTCACTTCCTAATTGCTTACTGAAAGTTTTATAAATCCTATAACAAATCTTTGAAGGAAAGTTATAATTTAATCATAATATCTATTACTTCTTGAGATATAGGTGGTAATGTCTTCATACCAATTGCTATTTTGATGCTGCAAAATTGGCTTTGTGTCTGTCACTCATGCACCATCAGTACACACAGCTGTTAGCATGTTCCACTCTGTTGAAACAAATTATGAAGCAGAGGGAAAACATTGCCAGCTTTGGAAGTGACTACTAGTAGTTCACAAAACAAAAACTACTTTCGAAGCGTCAACATATACCTATCGGGTATATACAACTAATTAACACATGTTTGAGATGTCAGGCAAATTATCCATTTGAATATTGATTAGACATTGGGATTGTTTTGTTTTATTTGCTACCTAACTGAGTACGTCCTCATTCATTTCAGCAACTTGTCTCATGATGACATTAATGGAGAAAGAAATCTTTTGGATTTTCTTTGTTACTTTTTGTTCAAGGACAAGTTCTACCATTTTTAGGCAACCTGGTTTAATAATCCTCTCTGGTGTAAAGTAAGAAGCTTTTCCTTTAATACAATATATGCCACATTAAATGAGGCTTGTAGAACTGGTTTTGGTGACAGATGGAATCCAGGGCGAGGAAGAATTCCTTTTTGATAATCTTTGGCATATTTGTTTTGAAATTTTTCAATTGAGCTGTCCTCATCTGGGTGTTTGCTTTTTAAATCTTGCTGGGTATAATTTTGAAATGCATATTATGTAGGAAATTTGAAAGTATCCATTGTGCTCAATTGAGACCACCAAGGTTGTCTTTAATGGATATAAAACCCCATACATGACAATTTTTGTTCCACTTTTCTGACCTTGATAACTTTCATTGGGGTTTAACTGGTATTGTCACTAATAGTGACTTGGGTCACAGTTACAATGAAATCAAATCTAGTGACTAACTTCTGTAGTGCAAAATAAATATAATCTGCCAAAGAGAGTTGGCATAATGATTCTTCTCAATACAGGGAGAAGTAAAAAGCTACAGATTTTATACTAAGTCTGTAGCCATGACACAACCAGGTTATCTAAATAATTGGGTGTGGTTATGGTTGGGGTAAAGAAGATACAGATGTATAGAGGAAAGTAGAAGAGCATTGGAAATGGTGGTGGTGTGGTGTCATACAATCTTATTTTTCAAACTAGTGAACCAAAGGGATGTTTTTTTTTTAGGGGGTCACCTCTCTTGTGGGGCAAAGTTTAGATAAAGTAAAATATTGTTTTATCAGAATGTCTGACAAAGAAGCATAATAAATTCTACCTAACAATGGTTCTTTGTCAATTTGAGGAGATAACAGCAGTGGTGAGCCAACTAGTAAAAAAAAAAAAAGTATTTTCAGGATTTTAGTGACATATGTTACGAATTCGCAACATATGGAGATATGAACCCAGGGTTAAAAAAAAATAAGATGGGTTGCTTAGATAGGAATGCATGGTGTCAACAAACACAAGATGTTTGTAAATAATTTTATATACCAAAAACAACAGGATATGGAAAGTGTATGGGATAACAGGCATAAAATCAATAAAAAATGTTAGAAATATTAGTTAATTATAATTGTTAGTTCTTTCTGCAATATAAGACTCTGGAATAGTAATTCTATTTCATTTCTCCAAATCAAATTACACCCAAAATGAAATTGGGATGATTTCTTTGGGTATAATCTTTCGTCCTCTACACATCAAATAGTGGAATAAATCTGTGGTCTTTATGAATAATATCTTTTTATTCACTACACATCAAGTTGAGTAAATCCAGGATCTTTGAGAATAATGTTTCCTAATTCCTTACACAACAAGTAATAGAATAACTTGGTAGGCATATTTCTCATGAGTGCATGATGAGACTATTTACTCGTGGCCTGTCGTGGTCAGAGATTATCAGGGAAACTGAAATTATAATTAAAAAATCCCACTTGGTAGCGCATGTCATGTGGGTTTAGGTGACTGACTTATACTTACACCCTTAGGTTAATCTATCTAGTCGTCAAGTGACACGGATTCTTTCCCGCCATTTTCCAGTCGAGACAGAACTCCATCTAGACAGGAAATAAAGTAAGAAAAGAAAGAAGGGGAAACACAAAGAAAGCATGTAATAAATTGATCACATCTGATTTAACATTCAACATTGAGGACCATGTCACATATAGTACAAGCATGAAATACAAATGTGAATGCATGGTAATGCTGGAACCCCCCCCCCAAAAAAAAACAAAAAACAAAGGGGTATAGAAATATTTTGAGCCACTTGACTTGCCTGTGATAAGCATCTTTGCAGGTTAAGATAAACATGCAAATTTCTCATATTAAATTAGGTACCTTCATGAGATCGCTAAAAACGGAGCATAGCAGGATGAAAAAGACACCAAACTTGACGAAAACAAAATTTTTGCATCTAAATGCTTATGTTATTATTGAGAGGAAAGATCAAAGTTTATTTTAATTATTTTTTAAAATTTTTCCTTCTTTTTAGAACATTCTAAATTTTGATTAAAAAAACCTTGTTTCTCTTTGTATCACTGGAACTAGTAAAATAACATAAAATTTTAGCATGTTTTTTTTCTGTATGACACATTAATTTGGAAAATCTTGCAAAAATACAAATAATTGTCGGATTTTAATGAAACTTTCAGAAACTACTCACAAATGATGGAACTTATTATAAATGTTTTTTTTTTTTTTTTTTTATTAAAGTCATGGCAGAAATATTTTTTTCATATGTATTTTCCCCCTCCCCTTTAATTGTACAAAAACTCTATAATTTCAATTTTGGGAAGATTAGTGAAAAGCACAATGCTTTGAGGAAACCAGATCATGTTTTTTTTTTTTTTTTTTTTTTTTTTTTTTAGTTGGACCACCTCTACCTGAAAATTCTCAAAACTCAATAATACAAAAATATTTCAATTTCAAAAGCTTTTAATTGCTTTTATTTATTTCATTGAACATGAACAATATTGTCTGAAAGCAAAAAGATATTTCGATGAAAAATGAATTTTTAAAACAATTGTTATTTCTGAAATATTTTATTATTTTTACATTAAATGTTGTTAATTCTTTTAAAATTTGGGAAAAATTTGTAAAATTTAACTAATGTTATTAAGTAGATATATATTTACAGATTATAATTTCCAAAGCTTTTTACAAACTAATGAACAACAGTAGATATAAAAAAAAATATAATTTGTGTCAATAATAACACTGTAAATCAAATCTACG